AATTTAGGTTTAAATGAGAGAGGTATATGGTTGCCTAGCATGGCACTTGGCACATGGTAGTTGCTCAGTAAATTCTAGCCTTTTTTCTTCTCCAAGTTTCTAGTCTCATCTCTAACCTGATGTTCTAGCCACATCAAATTCTTTATCGGTCCCACACTGGTCTCAAACTTTTATGTCTTTGTGCCTTGGCTCTTATTTTCTCTCTGACTTCCCTCGTATCCATGTGGTGAACTTCCTTCCCTTGGTCTTCAAAAGTGAGCTCAAATGTCCCCTCTTCTCTGAAACCTCCCCAACTTCCTCTCACCTTTGTTCCCTGCTTCCACGGCACTCTGTGTATGTCTGTTGTAGCCCTTGGAATTCTATAATTCTTTTGTTTTCTGCTATATTTATTTCTACTTTTGCCTCTCTGTTAGGTTTTGACTTTGGGGGGCAAGGACCAAGTCTTATTTGTATTCATGGAGTGTTTGGAAAGAGCCTGGAGGAGGCTAGGAAGATGACATGACACACACAGGTGGAGGGATTAGATTTGAAAAAAGAATTACCTCTTCCTCTGAAACAAAAGGGAAGGAACTGAAGATGAATGATAGTAAGAAGGTAGCAAGAATCTTTAAAGCAAAATGGAAGTGGCCAAATCTCAGGGGGAAATCTGGCTTGAAGAAGGGTATGGGAAGAAGATGCCACCCAAAAAGATGAGGAGGCTAATGGAGAGGTGGCATTGGTGTGGTCTGAGGGGCTGAGCCTTCTCCTTCTTAGATGTGTGAGGTCTCAGGATGGACCCAGCAGCACTTAAGCTGAAAGAAGGGGTCTTGGGCCTGCAGGAAGAAACAGCCTTGTTTCCACCTGGAACTAGGCTGAATGGCCTTGCTTATATCTGAGTCTTTCAGTCCAGCAAGGAGAATCTGGAGCCACCAGCTGAAGGTTTGCAGTGATGTGGATGAGGAGTGAGGAAGGGGTAGTGGTGGTGGTGGAACCATGCAGAGCTATCTGGGTAGAGGTGCTGTGAGAAGGATGGCAGGGAATTTTGACATCAATGCAATCTTCAGAAGGCAGCTGGAGGGGAAGCACTGGTACTTCTAGCTGCACTGATGTTTGTTCCAGTTGGCATCCTGCATTTAAGTGAGTCTGGGAGTCCTTCTGCCCATGGTGGTCTGTGGTGCAGGTGGGGGCTTACCGAAAAGCTATTTGGATTTGTTCTACTCTAGGCTGGTGGCTTAAGCTCTTGTATCATTTTATAAGCTACCAAGCACGCTTGACAACCATTTTTAGGTGACACTTCAAAAACAACAAGCTAATGTCTCAGTTAGAGTACTTTGATGTAAACAACAGAGATTGTGAGTCATTTAAGAAAAAATGAAATTTACTAAAAGGATACAAAGAGTTGACAGGAAAATTGCAGCATCAGATATGGAGAATGGGCTATAACCTAGGCAAGCTTGGCAACAGGAACCACAGCCAAGCCTGTGTCTCAGGTCCAGCCTGGGATGGCCAGCCTCACTGCTGCAGGGCCACCCCTCACTCCCAGCCCTCATCAGGGCCCCACTGCTGTTGGATACCTACTGTCTCTGTTGCTATGAATACTTCTGAAATTGTCTCTATGTTTTCATGTCACTTGCTGAAGATTCCAAGCTCAGAGAATAGCGGCCAGGTGGTTGAGCCTGGGTCATGTGTCATGTGCTAGCCATTAGCAGGCAGGAAGAGTAATATCCTTTCAGCTTAGGCCAGGCGTGGTGACTCACACTTGTAATCCCAGCACTTAGGGAGGCCAAGGAGGGCAGACTGCCTGAGCTCAGGAGTTCAAGACTAGCCTAGTCAACATGGTGAAACCTTGTCTCTACTAAAAATGCAAGAATTGGCTGGGTGTGGTAGCAGGTGCCTGTAATCCCAGCTACTCAGGAGGCTGAGGCAGGAGAATTGCTTGAACCTGGGAGGCAGAGGTTGCAGTGAGCTGTGATTGCACATTGCATCACTGCCATCCAACCTGGGCAAAAGAGTGAGACCTTGCCAAAAAAAAAGGGGGGGGGGCAGGTGCAGTGGCTCACACCTGTAACCCCAGCACTTTTGGAGGTGGAGGTGGGTAGATCACCTGGGGTTGGGAGTTTGAGACCAGCCTGACCAACATGAAGAAAATCCCAACTCTACTAAAAATACAAAATTAGCCAGGTGTCGTTGCAGGTGCCTGTAATCCCAGCTACTTAGGAGGCTGAGGCAGGAGAAGAACCTGGGAGGCAGAGGTTGCGAGAAGCCGAGATCGCACCATTGCACTTCAGCTTGGGCAACAAGAGTGAAACTCTGTCTCAAAAAGAAAGAAAGGAGGTTTGGATGTGTTTTTTCAGTTGTCAATTTTTATCACAACCCCAGGCTGCTAGGCTTGAAACTTTAGCATCATCCTCATTGCCATTATCTTCCCACATAGTGACTCTCCAGATTTATTAGGTTTGCCTTGCTCTCTGCCACCACTATTGCTTTAGTAAGATTACTCAGCAACAGCATAGAGAGAAGAGGCTGGAAATCGGGAGTTGGACTTCTACAATGTTAGAGCTGGAACGCTTCTTTGAATTTATCTATTGTAGTGGTCTTACCTAGCAGTATTCATTAGAATTCTTATAGCATTAAAAAAAATACACATTCTGGTATCCCCCAGCTGGGTTTCTGGGTTCACTAGATCTGAGGTGGGACCTTGATATATACTGGTGTTTCTCAGGTGCGTCCCAGGTTGAGAACTGATGAATTTCAATATTCTTGTTTTAAAGATGAGGAGATTGAGGCCCAGAGGGAAGTTGGCTGTTTGAAATCACACAGTGAGTTTAGAAGGGGCCAAGACCAATTCGTCTTCTGGTCCAGTGCTACTCACACTTCTTGCTTTTTCCCTCTGCTAAAGGAAATTTTCTATATTTATTTGTATCCAAGAAAGCATGCTATGTTTCTGTGGCTCCGCTCCTCCAAAGGTAAACAGATTAAAAGATCCAAACCATAGAGAGTGAACAGCCTGCAAAAAACGGCCCCATTTCTAATGATGGTTGGCTTGGTCTCTGGATCACAGACCTCTTTTGTCGGAATCCAGGAAAAATGTCCTCAAGAACCTTGAGGGAAGTGGGGAGGACCCATCGATAAAGGATAGCCCAGCCAAGGCCATACTTCTATGACTGGCAAGATTCTGTCTGGGCCTCTGTGCAAACAGGTCTTTGTCTCAAGCACTCATTGGCCTTTCTTCAACTCTTGACTGTCCTTTAGCATCTGGTTCTCATCTTGGGAATCAATCTCTCTCTCTTTTTTTTTCTCCTCTGCTGAGTTAGCCAAATACTCTGCATTGGATTGGTTTACCACTAGCTCTGGGCAATCTCATCAAAACCCAGGGGTTCTAATGCTTTCTATTATACTTATTTATTTATTTTTGAGACAATGTCTTGTTCTATCATCCAGGCTGGAGTGCAGTGGTGCCATTACGGATCACTGCAGCCTTGATCTCATGAACTCCAGTGATCCTGCTGCCTCAGCCTCCTGAGTGCAGGTGAGTGCCACCATTCCCCGCTAATTTCTGTATTTTTTTTGTAGAGATAGGGTCTCACTATGTTGCCCAGGCTTGTCTTTAACTCCTGAGCTCAAGTTATCTGCCTGCCTTGGCCTCCCAAAGTGCAGGCGTTAGCCACTGCCCCCAGCCTATGCTGCTTTTTTGATTTTTTTTCTGTTTACAAAAGTTGTGTTATCCTATAAAGATTCTCCCTAGGAAATGCCATTTATTTAATGCTTTCCTGCTCCAAATCTATCCCTAGGGCAAAGAAAGCAAAGAATAGGAGAACTACTGTAGCAGAACCACCTTTCTCCCTTAACCTTTGCATCCAGAAAGGGCGCTAGCATCAAAGTCCAAGCACCTCTCCCTGGCTCAAGCAGAGGTGACATGGTCAGAGTTGGCCTTTAGGAAGCAACTGGAAGAGTGTGGAGGATGGATTAGAAGAGAGGTTGAGAGAGGGGAGACAATCAATCTATATCAGCTACTTCAATAATCTGGGTGACAGATGATAAGATCTGAATTGAGCAGTGGGAATGGGATGAAGAAGTGGAGAAATAGTCATTTTGACAGTGGAACTGACAGGACTAAGTAACTGATGGTATGTGGGAGATGAGGGAGAAGTTCAAGATGACTAGGTTTGGAGCTTGAGTACCTGGGAGGATGGGACCTTTAATAGAATGAAGGACATAAGAAGAGCAGTTTTGAAAGGAGGGTGGGAGACAATGACATTAGTTTCATACATGAGGGATGCAGGGATCTAAGAGGACGTTTCCATCAGGCAGTTGAATATGCAGGGCTGGACTCAGGAGGCCCGGGCTTCACACAGCAATCTGGGAGCTTCCGAGGGAAGAAAATGTGGACTAGGGCAGCACGCAGAGTGAGAAGGTGACTGGGGCCTCAACCTAGAAAATGGAAGCCCCAAACACGGGGTACGGCACAAGGAGAGACTGAGAAGGAGCCAAGGAGCTGGGGAAAAAAACAGCAAAGTGTGGTTTTACCAGCCAAGGGGGGCAGTTTCAGGAAGGGATGTGGAGAGCGGGGACGAGGAGGTAGGACTGACAAGATGCGGCCCCTTTTGGCAGTTAGTTACTATGGTGGGCCTGGTTTCAGTCACAAAGCTACCCCTCATCCTTAGGAAAGCACGCAGGACGTCATATCAAATGAACACTAAGGCAGGTTTCTGAGTAACTCATATACTCCCTACTCACTGTCGCCTCAGTTATAAAGGTATTGCAGGATAAATGAGTGTATCAAAGTTTAACATCACTCACAATTGCCAATAAAGCCCCACAGTTCCCACCTCTTTCAGTTCAGTGAGAGGAAACTGCAAAAATTTGAGAGCGTGGCTGATGAGCTAATATATAAAGAATAACTAATAAATATTAATGCATTGTCCCCTCTAGCCAATCAAGTCTGGGGAGAACCCTCTTTGGGCTCACGGTAGCCTCGCCCCTCATGAATATGTAGATAGCGCTGCCCGCCGCGCACTGCCCCGCCCTCCACTCTTCTCCCTCGCAACCGACTCTCCCTTCAAACGGGAAACAAGATGGCGGCGGCAGGTCCGAGTACTCGGGCCTCTTCCGCGGCGGCAACGGCCGCTCTGAGTCGGCGGGGACGACGGGGCCGCTGTGACGAGATGGCGGCAGCTAAGACTGGGGCCCCGGACCCGACTTCTGGACCTTCGTTGTTGGTGTTGTCGCCGCCGTTGCTGCAGCCGCCACCGCCGCCGCTGCCGCGTCGGGAGGAGTCGGGCTGCGCCGGGTGCCTGGAGCCCCCGGGGGAAGCGGCGGCCCTGCCGTGCGGCCACTCACTGTGCCGAGGCTGCGCCCAACGTGCCGCCGACGCGGCGGGGCCGGGTTGCCCGCGCTGTCGCGCCCGTGGCCCAGGCTGGGCCCGCCGTCGGGCCCGCGACGACGGCCAGGCCGACGCGGAGGTGCTGGGCGAGCGCGCCCGTCGCGGCCAAGCTGAGCGCTGCCGCCCGCGCCGGGACGGGTGCGCGGCTGCCGCGGGGCCCAGGCCAGAGCAGGAGCCGCGTGCCGCGCCTGCCGAGCCAGGTGGGCTTCCTCACTTCCCTCTGGGGTCCGGAGCTAGGCCGAGCGCGCCCCGGCCGGGCCTGGTGAGCGGGTGGAGAGTCCCGGGCCCTACTCAGGCGGGTGTGGAGAGTTCTCGTGGGGTTGGAACCCAGGCTCTGCCCAGGTGCAGTGTGTGTTTGTGAATTTTAAACTTCAGAGTGACGGACGGGCACGTTGCATGCGGAGGGCGGTGAGGGCACCCGGTGCCTTACGTAAGTCCGAAGTTTGGAGGGAAACAGAATTGTTGGAACAAGTTAGGGGCAGGTTGGAATTGGTGTGTGGGAGTGGGAGGGGCCTTGGAGGATCAGAGAAATGCTTGGTTTGAAGTTGCATGAAGAGTTTGGGGGTCATCTTGCTTGGAGACATGTGGCTTCTGGCCCTGAATGGGTCAGTGAAGGGTGTGGAGTATCCGGAGTTTAGGGAACAGGTTGAATATGAGGATGTGAAGGGAGCTTTTCAGTCTCAAGAGCAGAGTGGGTTGGGAGCACACATGTGCAGTTGTTTTCATAATTCTTGAAAAATGCGTGCTTAGCACAGAACTTGGCACATAGTGAGGAAGCAATAAGTGACCGCTGTTTATATTTGTAATACTACTACTGCTAAGTCCAGTAGTGCCTGAGAAAAAAGCTGGCTTGGGTTTAAAAGTTTTGGAAACAAAGATTGGATTGGCAGGGGGTGCTCCTTTCTCTTTGGCAGTGTGGGTTTCCTACTGGCTTGCTGGCAATTGAAAGTCTATTGTAGGACTCTTGCCCTGAACTTCTTGCCCTGAACATCCTTCCCTTAACACCAGCAGCCTGCTATTCCTCGGTTCTGAGCCTTGAGATAGAAAGTGCCCTGTTTAAAATACAAGACTGTGTTATAACTTAGGACTCTTTTGGGGACACACCCAGTCAACATAACATCTACAGCTCAGTTTGATAAAAAATGTTTACATAGAATGAGATTTTTCAAGAAACATGAACTAGGAAAGGCCATATATTTGCATCTTCTGTTTTGGGAATTCTACCATGTGTTATTTTCGGTACGGAGGTAGAGGCATTGCTTTTGTGTACAAGTGCAGCCTCTAGAAACCACAGATTCCAGAGTGGACTCTGTTCTGGTTCAAGCTGCCAGAGACACCTGTCACTGCCCCAGGATAGATCTTGGGCTGTTATTCCTGGGGTTGAGAGGGACCTGCATTTCACTTTCTATGTTCCTCGTTACTCCTGTCTGTTTGTTTGAGACAGAGTCTCACTCTGTCGCCCAGGCTGGAGGGCAGAGGTGCAGTCTCTCAGCTCAGTGCAACTTCTGCCTCCCAGGTTCAAGCGATTCTCCTGCCTCAGCCTCCCGAATAGCTGGGACCACAGGCGCTTGCCACCATGCCCTGCTAATTTTGTAATTTTAGTAGAGACTGGGGTTTCACCATGTTGGCCAGGCTGGTCTTGAACTCCTGGCCTCAAGTGATCCTCCTGCCTCTGCCTCCCAAAGTGCTGGGATTACAGGAGTGAGCCACCGCACTCAGCCCTCGTTATTCTGTTTAAGCTTCACAACATCCCTATGAGATAGATACTTTCATTTCTATTTTATAGATGAAACTGAGGTCCAGAGAAGTTAAGTAACTTGGCATATCAGGGTTGAAAACCTCCCAAACATCTTTATTTTGTCGATGTGGTGTGATGGTTTCATGTGCTACTTAATTTGCTTTGAATTCTGAGATTATGGTCAAAATATAAGACAATATTTATCTGGTCTCCCTATTAGTACTATTGATTATATGATCAAGTAGGATAGAAATTTTAATTTGATTTCTAAGCTTGGAGACCATTGTAAATATCAGGTCTGAATTTGAACCATGAGAGGGAGTTTGGTGTTATGATTTGTGCACACTTTTTCCCTTGAAGAAGTTTTTGTGATAAAATGTATCAATGATTAAGTGAAATTATCTAAAATGAGACTTCAAATTAGAATTTATTGAGTCACTTAGTATTCATCAATTATTTTATATGTTTATATGAGGACCATAATGAAAAATGTTTTTTTAAATGTTCTTGTTGTTGGATTGTTTTGTGTTTACAGTTAGGTGCTTATTCAGCCAAAGAATTTTAGAAGAGTACAAAAATATTGCCAAAAGCCTTAGGAAGTATCTTTTAGCTTCAGTGGGTTATCCAATCCTCTTGAAGTTATATATAGTATTTTTAAATTAAAAATTTTAATAGGTAGTGCATTCACAGGATTCAACCAAAAATGTAACAAAGTAGACAACGAAAAGATTCCCTTTGGCCAGGCGTGGTGGCTCATGCCTGTAATCCCAGCACTTTGGGAGGCTGAGGCGAGCTGATCTGAGGTAAAGAGATGGAGACCACACTGGCCAACATAGTGAAACCGTGTCTCTACTAAAAACACAAAAATTAGCCGGCGTGATGGTGTGCGCCTGTAGTCCCAGCTACTCGGGAGGCTGAGCCTGGAGGATCGCCTGAACCTGGGAGGTGGAGGTTGCGGTGAGCCAAGATCATGCCACTGTACTCCAGCCTGGCAACAGAGCAAGACTCCATCTAAAACAAAAAAAAATTGCCTTTTACCTCTTAGTTCTCACTCCCATCAAAGATTCTTGGGCTGGGCACGGTGGGTCATGTCTGTAAATCCAGCACTTTGGGAGGCCAGAGTGGGTGGATTATTGAAGTCAGGAGTTCAAGACCAACCTGCCTAACATGGTGAAACGTTGTCTATCCTAAAAATAAAAAAATTAGCTGGGTGTGGTGGTGCACGCCTGTAGTTCCAGCTACTGGGGAGGCTGAGGCAGGAGAATCGTGTGAACCTGGGAGGCGGAGGCTGCTGTGAGCTGAGATCATGCCACTGCACTCCAGCCTGGGTAATAGAGCAAGACTCTGTCTCAAAGGAAAAAAAAAAAGATTCTTGTTTATTCTTCCACAGTTTATGGAGCTACATGAAAGTTCAAGTATACTTAGTTTTTGCCATTTTTCTACAAAAGGTTGTACATTATACACTGTTTTGTAACTTGCTTTTTTTTCCCCTTTGGTTTAACAATACATTACCAGAGTCCATAGTAGTATGTTATATGGAATTTTACTGAATGGATGAAACATAATTTACTTAACCACCTATTGATGTACATTTTGGTTGTTTCCTGTCTTTTGCTATTATAGATAATTGTTTATAAAATTGTTATGTAAATATGTATGTGCATTTTTATGGAGAAGTCACCAGTAGCTTTCACCAGAATCTGAACCATTGTTTTAATCTACATCTCTCATTCTGTAGAAGAGAAAACTGAAGCTCAGAACAGATAAGAGAGTAAGGGTTTACATGAGTTAATAGTAGATTAAAAAGAGTCAACAGAAACAACCTAATTCACAGTGAAATGTTCCTAATAGCTTTAATAAAGAAAACTAATAATACCAATTTTATAAATATTTACATTGTGCTTTTATGAGTGGAAACAGCAACAGAATTACTAGGTTGGCACAAAAGTAATTATGGTTTTTCCCGTTACTTTCAATGGCAAAAACTGCAATTACTTTGTGCCATCCTAATAGCAATTTTAGTAATATTTGGAGATATATTGCTTATTGTATTCTTATCGCATAGTTAGATCAATTGATAAAGGAAATGTCAGGCCTGCTGGAAATGAAATTTTGTAGTAAATGCATTGATATTTAAGTGAAGTTCTTAATTTTTTTTTATTTTGTTGAAGTCCAGTGCCTCTTTAGGAATTGCTTTGTCTACGGAAAACGTGTATTAACAGTTTTGCTTTTGGATATAGCATCAGTTCTTATTGATTTGTGAAACTTTGTGTGTAAAGGCTGTATCAGTGATCATTTCAAAATTAACTCAGACTTCATATTCTTTGAGGATCTGCAGCTCATTGTATATATTGACATATTAAATATTTGGACCATTTTGAGCAATATTCAGGAATTATGTAATAAGTACCTACTCTGTGCCAGGTCTTTGGGAAACATCAGTGAATGAAATATTAAAGATTTTTCTCTCATGGAGCTTATATTCTAAAATTTAGAGACATTCTTGTTCTGTTGATTTAAAAAACATTTCATACAAGCTTACGTAGGTAGAGTTTGAACTATACATTGCAGCTACATTTAAGCTTCATTTAAAAATGATTAATGAATTTTAAGAATTCATTTAGTCTCTTTGAAATCAAGGATGATTATTCCAAATCATACTGCTTTTGAATTTGAAACCAAGACTTTTTTACTTTTCAGGACATTCTTTTTCTTCTGCTATGGGTAATGACTGAAGAAAAAAGCTAGACAAAGGCTGATGAATCTTTTAAATTGGCAGTTTAATTTTTTTTCTCTTCGTGGTATTAAAAGTGCTTTTCAAAGATTGAATAGATAGGCCAGGCTCACATCTGTAATCTCAGCACTTTGGGAGGCAGAGGTAGGCAGATCATTTGTGGCCAGGAGTTCAAGACCAGCCTGGCCAACATGGGGAAACCCCATTTCTACTAAAAATACAAAAATTAGCCAGGTGGTGCACACCTGTAGTCGCAGCTGCTCGGGAGGCTGAGGCAGGAGATTCGCTTGAATCTGGGAGGCGGAGGTTGCAGTAAACTGAGAACAGATTGCGCCACTGAACTCCAGCCTGGGCAACAGAGCGGAAACTGAGAAACAAAACACGAAAATTGAATAGATAAAAAACAACTGAATAGTGCCTCACTTATCCCTTCTCATCCCATCTCAACTTCCCTGTTCACTTAGGGTTAACATTTCTGCATTAAAAAAATTTCCCCTTTCTGTGAAAAGCAAGTAGTTCTGGTTTTTTTACTCAGTTGGCAGACAATGTTTGCTATGTGTGCAGCCTAAATTACATTTAGGACTAATGAATAATGAAACCATGTGATTGTAGTGTAAGAGGACAGGAATCCCCTGGTCTGTAAGGATTTGTTTTAGTGTAAAATGACTCATTTCTTTATCCTTAATGACACATATCCGAGAATTCGAGAGTGTCTTTATGTGTTATAC